ATATATTTGAGGTGTTATTTTTTGGAAAAGAACACAATTTTGAAGAGGCAGGAAATTATCTGATCTCAAAAGGTGCAAAAATCGATGCATTAGATAGAGATGGAAAAACTGTACTATATCGGTTGTTGGATTATGAGCTTCCACGAATGGATCGAATATTATGGTTAGTGCGTAACGGTGCTCAATTGGACTTGGTGACTGCCCATAAATCTTTGCCCAGATCATTGATGGGCGATGAGAAAGATAAAATACTCAAAGCGATTAAAAATGAATTGAAACGACTTTCGCTTTTTCATTCATGAGGTTATTTAACAGTAGGGCATGAATGATAATATCATTCCATTTTCGGATCAAAGGTGTAAGCGAAACGACGACGAAGGCATTACAGATGTAAGACAAGGAGTGACAAATTACACGTTTGATCAGAAATTGGAATCAGAGGTTCATTGCAGGGTAAAGCCATAAGAGCATGATACAACCTTGTATTAACTTTGGGAGGGTAGTTGTTCTTTTATAACCTATTGTTTTATACAAAATGCATCGAGGTATTTAATAATATTATTTATTATCAACAATTTGAATTAATTTCCATCGTGAGTTCACTTTAAGCAACTTTCTGTAAGGACTTAGGTGTGTAATGCGTGTGAGGATCGAGTGTTTCCTTGTTGTTATTTTGGCAAACATCATTTGTTTGGACTATACACATTTGTAATTTGTCGACTAGAATTGTCCTGCACGTGAGTTATTATTATCAAATCTAGGAGCACATATGAAGAATATTCAATCAGTTAAAGCTAAACAAATCTGTGGTGGTGCAACGGCTGCGCCAACTTACACCATTAATATGAAAAAAATCGGTGATAAGAAAAATGGTACTACAACATTGCAAGTTTCTCAGTCTGATGCGATGGCCGCTGGTTTAAGTCAAGCGCAACTTCAAGCGGCTGCAAATGTACTGGGCAATTCCGCTGCTGCAAAAAAATAATTGACATCCATCAATGAGAGGAAATTCCTCACATTTGTGTCGTTTTCTCGAAAAAGTCTAGCTAACGTTTGTTTTTAATACATACTAACCTTAAAAAATAATCGCTAAACTTTTGTTGAACGGATTGGACAAGGACGATTTATTTTAAATGGTCCACAGTAAAAACACCTTTCACAAGGTGTTTTTTTTATGCTAAAATTGCGCATCAACCAAAAGGGGAGTAGCTACCTATCACGCTTTTGTTCTATTCGGGGTAACGCTTGGATAGACTTGGCATCATGTGATAGCGCTCAGATCCGTCAATACGTTAGTCGTTGTAGGATTAACCGGACTGAGCAAAGATCACCATCTTCCTGCAAGACCTTTTGGCAAACTGAAAAGTTTTTTTCAATTTGTCAAAATAGGAGGTCTTGTTATGTCTACACTTTATCTTTCTCAACCCCTTTGGCTCTGGGGAATCTTTCTTGCTTTTGTTGTTGCGGCATTATTTGTCGATTTTGTGGTGCTTAAAAAGCAAGGCGCGCATGATGTGACAACCCAAGAAGCTCTGAAATGGACGCTGCTTTGGGTAGGTCTAAGTTTTGTCTTTAACGGTTTATTTTGGTTAGCCATTTGGGACGAGTCAGGGTCACTGGCACTGGCCAATCAAAAATCGCTTGAGTTTTTAACAGGTTACCTAATCGAAAAATCATTGGCGGTTGATAATATCTTTATTTTCCTGATGATTTTTACCTATTTTGCTGTGCCTAGTCAGTATCAAAAACGTGTGCTGATGATTGGCATCATGGGCGCTTTGGTTTTGCGCAGTGTGATGATTCTGGTTGGCGCTTGGTTGCTCAAAGAATTTCACTGGGTTTTGTACCTTTTTGGCGCGTTTTTAGTGCTCACGGGGATTAAGATGTGGCTTGCTGCGGGGAAGGAGCAAGATCTTAGCGATAATCCTTTGCTCAAACTGCTACGCAAAATCATGCCCATCAGTCAAAATTTTGATGGAGAAAAGTTTTTCACGATCGAAAATGGCAAACGTATTGCAACCCCCATGTTGATGGTCATTTTGATGGTGGCATTGACAGACATCATTTTTGCGGTTGATTCCATTCCTGCTATTTTTGCGATTACCGATGATCCCTTTATTGTTTTATCGAGTAATGTTTTTGCAATTTTAGGTTTGCGGGCCATGTATTTTTTATTGGCGGGAATTGCCAATCGTTTTCATCTGCTTAATTATGGCTTAGCTGTTATTCTAGTTTTTATTGGCAGCAAAATGTTACTGGTTGATTATATTAAAATTCCGATTTGGGTGTCTCTAGGGGTCGTTGTTGGTGTTTTGGCGTTGACGATGTGGTTGAGTGAAAGAATGAATCGGCAAGGACGTGAAAACGCTCGTTAATTCGATTCATGATAAAAAAATGGCTTGGTAAAAACCAAGCCATTGATAGTTATGTAAAAACTACTTTGCTTGACTTACCATATAGTCAACGGCAGCTTTGAACTCCTCATCACTACCAGCAAAACCGCCTTTAGGTGGCATGGCATTAATACCTTTTAGGCCTGACTGATATAGACCTTCTTCGCCTTTTGTTAAGCGTGTTGCCCATGCTGCTTTATTACCCACGGTAGGTCCTGGACCATTGGCACCATGACATGCCATGCAGCTTGATTCAACAATAGTTTTGCCGTCGATTTTAGGGGTTTCAACAACTTTTTCTGCAACGGCAACCACTTCTGTTGGTGTTGCAGCTGGTGAGGAGGCTGTTGCAGCATCTGGTGTAGGTGTAGCGTTTGATGCCGTATCAGCCGCAGGAGCAGCTTTGGTAGGCTCGGTGGGTTCTGCCATGTGACCGCCTGAATTGTTCACCATATAAACAATAGCGCGACCGAGTTCAAAGTCACTATAATCATCAGGACTCGTACCGCCTCGAGCTGGCATGCCACGGATACCATCGATGGAATGTTTAAGTAAGGTGGCATAACCTTGACCTGCACGCGATGTCCAATCACCGCTGCCTACTTTTGGTGCGCCTGCCGCGCCTGTGCCGTGGCAGGAGATACAGGCGTTTTTGTAGACTTCTTCGCCAGATTTGTAGACCACAGGGCCATTCGGGTCGCGGTATTCTAGGGTGGCCACAGGCTTAATGCGATTGGCGATTTGATCAGGTTGTTGATCTTTGTCACTATTGGATGAATCAGCCGTGACAAATTTGACCAATAAAAGAATAACAATAATGGGTACGACAAAAGCTAAAATGACTACCGTGATTAATTGTTTGGGGGTCTTGATAAAAGACTCATGACTCATTTGGGACTCCGCTGATCATTTTGTTAAATGAATGCCTTGATATTAAATAAAACCTTAGGCTAAGAATAACTGCGTATTATACGCTTGCCAGTGATTGTTTGTGAAGTCATTTGAGGTAAAAAGAGTGAAATACCTTGGAATACCCATTTGGGGTGGCGGGTTTTTGCGACAACATAAAAGATGTTGGGTTGTATGGCAAGAAACATGTTAAGTCATGATGCGTAAAATAATGTTTTTTAGGGCAATCACAACAAAGTCACCTTCAAAAATGATCTGTCAGTCGAGCAGGTGGCAGATTTTATCTGTTTGATATTCATCTATTAATTATGTTTTATTTTGCAAATCTATGCAAAGCTATCGAATGATCTAGGCTTTCCTTTACAATAGAGGAATTATTTTTTAAAGCGATTGTACGATGTCAAAGCCAACTCATTATTTAAACGACGATTTTTTAAAAGCGCTCAAACGTGAGCCAGTTTCTCGCACCCCTGTTTGGTTAATGCGCCAAGCAGGTCGATATTTGCCGAGTTATTTGGCAACGCGTGCAAAAGCAGGCAGCTTTATGGCACTAGCGACCAATCCTCAATTGGCAACAGAAGTGACGATGCAGCCCATTGACCAATTTGATTTAGATGCAGCCATTTTGTTTAGTGATATTTTAACAATTCCTGATGCGATGGGGCTAGGGTTATCGTTTGCGACAGGAGAAGGGCCACAATTTGCTCATCCTTTGCAAGATGAAGCAAGTATCAATCAGTTACAAAAAGCCGACTTAAATCAATTAAAATATGTTTTTGATGCCGTGAAATCCATTAAACAAGCATTGCAAACGCCTGAAGGTCAAAGGGTGCCGTTAATTGGCTTTAGTGGTAGTCCTTGGACATTAGCTTGTTATATGATTGATGGCCATGGTGGTGATTTTGCGAAAACACGTGCGATGTTGTATAGCCGCCCAGACTTGTTGCAAAAAGTGCTTGCGGTAACGACCCACTCAGTGGTGGATTATTTAATCGAACAAGCAAAAGCAGGTGCTGATGCCTTGATGATATTTGACACGTGGGGTGGTTTGTTGCCTTTTGATAAATATAAGTCATTTTCACTAAGTTATATGACGCATATTGTCAAACAGGTCAAGAGCTTTAATGAGCAAATCCCCCTGATTTTATTTACCAAAGGTGGTGGTTTGTGGCTTGAAGAAATGGTGGAAAGTGGTGCTGATGCCCTAGGAATAGATTGGACGGTAGATATTAATCATGCAAGAAGGCAGGTAGGACATCAAGTCGCCTTACAAGGCAACTGCGACCCGATGTTGTTGTTATCGAGAAACGAGTCACTCATTCGAGAGGAGGTGCGTCGCATCAAAAATGCTTTTGGAAGCCATCCTGGACACGTGTTTAACTTAGGGCACGGTATCACACCCAAAGCCTATGTCGAAAGTGTTGCTGTTTTAATTGATGAAGTTCATAGTAATTTATATGTTGAATCGGATTTTGCAAATCCATAGTAATTTTAAATGGCAAGTAATCATCATTATCTTGACTTATGCACATTTTTAAGAACTGTCTAAAATTGCTTTGAAATTTTGAGTGATACGAAGTGCTGTCGCCAAATTTCATTTTAACATATTGATTTAAATTGATAATATATTTGCTCTAAAAGTGTGCAAATTGTAAAAAACTGTAAAAAATGCGTAATATAGCGCACGTAAATCGAAGATATGCACAAAGTTATCCACAGAAAATGTTAACAATTAAGACAATGCTATGACAGTCAATCAGTTGTCATCATCTATGGGGCTTTGTGTGTCGGTGGTGCTTAACACACCACTTAACCAACACTTTGATTATTTTGTATCGAATGCATTTTTGGTACAAACAAAGCTAACCACCATCAGCCCAGGAACACTACTTTTGCTTCCTTTTGGCAAAGGTAAGGATAATTTAAGCGAGCTGCCACAAGATTTTATGGCGGAAAATTACCCGAACCATGGTAAGGTAGGAATGGTCGTAGCCACATCCCCCATGAGCAGCGAGCAGGCTCGCGCATTAAAGCTTAAAAGTCCTTATGCTTTGTTTCCTCAGGATGTGATTGCCAAACAAGCTTTTGCCAATTGGTACCGACTATTGATGTTTGTTAGTGATCACTATCTTATCGATATTGGTCGTATAACGTTTGCTTGTTTGCCTAACAAATTTTCGCAGGTCAAATATTGGCCACTTGTTCTTAAACGCATCGCCAAAAGTAAACCTAAAGACTCAAAAAAAGGTTCAAAAAAATCTATTGTCAGTCAAATGAGTGCTCAAGTAGCTATATCGCTTGAAGTCAACAACACGACACCTTGGCAATTAACACAGAATCAACAAGATGCGGTTAATCAGTTGTTGTCTGCAAACACAAAGCCTCAAGTTTTGTTTGGTGTAACGGGCAGTGGTAAAACCGAAGTCTATTTTGCTGTGATGACGCAGTGGCTCGAACAGACAAGAGCCTGTACTCCTCATGATCATGAAGTGGCAAATGACTTACATCCAGAGGATGTTATGGATAATAGGCCATTAGAATCAACATCCTTGAACCAAGTTTTATTGATGGTGCCAGAGATTAACCTTACACCACAGTTGATTGCGAGAGTCAAAGCCCATTTTATTCACCAAAATGTTGTTGTTTTGCATAGTCAGGTTTCAGAAGCAAAACGATTTCAAGCATGGATGGCAACCCAGCAGGGGCGAGCGAACATCATTATTGGCACACGATTAGCAATTTTTTGTCCCATCCCTTATCTGGCGGGCATCATCATTGATGAAGAGCATGATGTTTCTTATCGTCAAACCGAAGGGGGTGCTTACTCTGCTCGTGATCTAGCAATATGGAGGGCCAAGCATGAAAAAATCCCTGTGATTTTGGGGTCAGCAACACCTTGTCTTGAAAGTTGGTTCGAGGTTCAGCGTGGACGGTATGGTTTGGTTCGTTTACATCAACGTGCCAATCAAAGCCTGTTGCCTCAGATTCAACTTGTTACGCCAAAAAAAATATTGCCTGATGATTATCAAGGAAAAAATACAAACTCTGGCTCTGTTTCAACCGCTAAGATGGCAAAACGCACGCAAGAAGTTTTGGTTTTGAAAGATGTGGTCAAAAAAATTGATAAGGCCATTGAGCAACAGCAGCAAACTTTAGTGTTTATCAATCGGCGAGGTTATGCTCCCGTTATTTTTTGCGCACAGTGTCAGTGGCAGCAACACTGTCCATTTTGTCATTACAAAATGGTTTGGCATAAAGATGCTCATATAACACGTCAAAAGGCGCAATGTCATTTATGTGGTTTTACTGAGTCCATTCCAATCACTTGCCCCAGTTGTGGCAATCCAAACCTAGTGGAATTAGGGCAAGGCACTCAAAAAATTGAAGAATATATTAATCAACAATTGGCGCATGCTCGTGTAGCGCGTATTGACTCGGATGTGATTGCAAAACAAGGCGTATTAGAAACCCTGTTTGCCCAAATTCAATCTGAGCAAATCGATGTGATTGTCGGCACACAACTTCTGGCCAAAGGTCATGATTTTAAAAAATTAAAGAATGTTATTGTGTTAGATGCTGATAGTGTATTGTATGCTAGCGATTTTCGTAGCGAAGAACGGCTTTTTGCTTTGTTGTTGCAAACCGCAGGGCGTGCTGGCAGGCATTTGCCGATGGGGCAAGTAGGTCAAGTGTATGTTTACACGGAGTTTCCTGAGCACCCCGTTTATACGGCTTTAATTGAGCACGATTACGAAGGTTTTGCAGAGTATATGTTAACGACCAGAGCGGCCATGAACCTTCCGCCTTATCGGTATTTAATTAAGTTACAATGCCAAAGTTTAAGTGCAGCGATGGCAAAATCATGTATGCAGCAAGTTCATGATTATTTGACGGATATGACTCAAGCCTTAGGTCTGAAGGAGGTTATACAAATTTTGCCACCCGTGCCTTGCCGCCCCGAAAAAGTTAGGCTGATGTATCAGTACCAGCTGATTCTTATTTGCCAAAGTCGAAAAACACAAGCTCAATTGTTAAAAACCTTTAAATTTGAGGGTATTTTACAAAAGTTAACACATTTCTTAGAAAAATCGTCTAACATTGGGACTATAGGTTCGTTAAGAGAACACAAGGTTCGATTATTAATTGAAGTTGATCCATTGAGTTTTTAAGTTTGGTTTAAGCTTTAAAATCAATGATGCTTACAATGAAATGTTAATTCTTGTTACATATGTTAACAGTTCTTGCGGGTTAACCCTTGTTGTAAGGTCTAAAGGTTAATGCCACAATGTACAGTAATAACTCAGTTTTGGTGAGGTAAAAATGAAACAAATGGATAGTGTCGAAGTATGTAAACAAATTCGTGGCGGTGCTATGAATGAATTGAGCGCGGAGTTTTGGGGACGTTTTCGTTACTTCGCCGAAAATTACTCGAACATTAAGAATGTGAAAGCAACCGATAAAGATGGTATTGGTGTTGCTAAAGACAATGCAACCGGGCTCGATAAAGTTTTAACACTCTTTGGTGGGTCGATGCAAATGATCATAGATTATTTAAATCCGTTAAATTAGTGGTTTATCTGCAGAGGTAGTCATAATTTCAAACGTTGCTTTGTGGCACTTTTGATTTGTCACAGTAGATGTAAAGGTGTAAAGGGAGAGAAATGAAAATTTTACTTAAAGATGAAGCGAAACAGATCTTAGGTGGTGCTGTTTGGGATGCTCCCGCATTAATCGCTGGGATTATTCGCCTTAATAATGCAGCAACACAAATGAAAAACGCAATCAAATCTAGAGATGACCCGAATGCGCCTGCAGGACCTGCAGGACCTAAAGGTGATAAACTCAGAGGTAAAGCTACAGATAAGCAACCAGGTTTGACAAGTAAATCTGGAGCATTAGCCAACAAAGGCGTGACGGTTGTCAACCCGACTTGATTTGTCATAGAACGGTTTTATAGAATTGAATACATTTGGATAGTTGAATTGTAAGGAGTGCAATATGAAAATGTTAAGTTTAAAAGAAGCAAGCCAAGTCGTTGGCGGTTTATCAGATGCAAATACTCAGAGCATGGGTCGCCTGCGTTATTTCTTACGTGTGCTCGGTCCATCATTGACGAATATGGGAGGCGCATTGGAAGCCTTAGGCACAACAAAAACG